TTTGGCCATTTGCCATCCTCATAGTGGATCACATCAGTATAAGTGATGGTTCCTATCCTGTGTGTAGGGGTCAGCAAACTTTTTCTGTTAGGGCCAGATAGTTACTATTTTAGACTTTGCAGGCCATATGGTCTCTGTTGAAGCTCCTCACCTCTGCTGTTCTAGCACAGAAACGGCCATAGACACTGGAATGTGGTACAGTGGCTATATTGCAATAAAACTTTATTTATGGACACAGAAATTTAAGTTTCATATCATTTTCATGTGTCACAAGATACTATTCTTTTGTTTTTTTTCAACGACTTAAAAATGTAAAAACCATTCTTAACTTGGCCATACAGTCTTAACTGGTTGCTTCCTACTCTTAATGCAGAGTAGATAATCTTCCTTTACCATCATCTAGGGATTCCTTTGTCTTTTCTCTTGGATCGGATCTCTTATCTCCTGGGTTTATGTACTTCCTATTTTATAGTTTACTCCCTCATTTTGGTGGTGCACATCCCTTATTAGCTTCCCCAGTGTGTAAAAAGAGTGAAACATTTAGATTTTTGTAAATCTAGAATGTCTTCATTCTTTCCTCCCACTTATTGACAATATGGGTATGAAATTGAAGGCATTGCTACATTTACCTCGAATTTTCAGTTGCTGTGAAGAAGTCTAAATTCTTTTTGATTTGCAAAACTTTATGGTCACTTTTTTTCCTCTTCTCTGGAAGCTTTTAAGTTTTGATTATTTTCCCCCAATATATTGAAAATTCACAATTATGTGCCTTAGTACGGGTCTGCTTTCATGCATTGTATTGGGTACTTGGTAGGTCCCATCAATCTGGAAACTCATGTCCTTCAGTCCTGGGAAATTTTCTTGCATTCTTTCTTTGATGATTTCTTTCCCTCTGTTTTCTCTGTTCCTTCCTTTTGGAACTCCTATCAGTCTTCTGTTAGACCTCTGAATCTCCTACTTTTCTTTCATATTTCTTACCTCTCCCTTTTTGTTAGTTTATAAGAAAATTCTACAGTTTTATCTTTTCTGTCAGTCAAAGTCCAGGCATGAAAACAGAAACCACTTTGGTATTTAAAACAGAAATAATTTAATGCAGGAAATTGTTTTTACAAGTTATGGGAAAGCTGAGAAGCCAAACGGGATAGTGAGGCAACCTATCAATAGCAGGAAGCCATTATCACCCCTAGGCTGGAGGGACAAAGGGAAGAGTTGATGTTACTGGACCTCAGGGGCTGAGAGTATGACAAAAACATAGGCCTATCAGTAGAAGCTGGAGCCATGGAGGAGATGCTGCCAATGCTGAAAGCGCCCACTAAATTGGAGAAATGGGAAGAAATGCCCTGGGTTTTCCTTTCCTTCTGACCTGCATTCTTCTACAAGTGCTTCCCGTTGGCTGAACCCAGGCCATTATGGGAGCCTGGGAAATGTAGCCTGCAGTGGTCAGCCCAAGGAATGGCTCTGAGGGCAGAAAGGCCCAGGACTAGCACATCTCCTATTAACCCCTTCTATTGATTTTGTTTCTCATTTCTGCTCTCATGCTTTGAATTTCCCAGGACCTTTTTTTTTTAATTAATTTTTATTGGAGTATGGTTGTTTTACAATGTTGTGTTAGCCTCCACCGCACAACAAAATGAATCAGCCGTACACATACAGATATCCCCTTCCCTTTTGGACTTCCCTCCCATTTAGGTTACCACAATGCATTAGGTAGAGTTCCCTGTGCTATACAGTATGTTCCCATCAGTTGTCTATTTTATACATAGTATCAATAATATATATGTGTCAATCCAGTCTCCCAATTCCTCCCACCCCACCCCTTTCCCCCTTTGTATCCATACATTTATTCTCAACATCTGTGTCTCTATATCTGCTTTGCAAATAAGATCATCTATACCATTTTTCTAAATTCCACATATATGCGTTATTATACGATATTTGCTTTTCTCTTTCTGACTTACTTCACTCTGTATGACACTCTCTAGGTCCATCCACGTCTCTACAAATGACCCAATTTCATTCCTTTTTATGGCTGAGTAATATTCCTTTGTATATATGTACCACATCTTCTTTATCCATTTTCCCAGGGCCTTTTATTGTCATTTTTGATGATCTCTTGAACATCTTTTGTTTTGTTTTTTTAAATATTTATTTATTTGGCTGTGCTGGATCTTAGTCACAGCACGCAGGATCTTTGTTGCCACATGCGGGATCTTTAGTTGCACCATGCAGGATCTCTTAGTTGTGGCATGCAGGCTCTTAGTTGCGGCATGCAGGATCTCGTTCCCTGACCAGGGATCGAACCCAGGCCCCCTGCATTGGGAGCTCGGAGTCTTAACTGCTGGACCACCAAGTTAAGACTGGTGGTCTTTTTTTCTTTAGCATTTTGTTCTTATTTAATCCATGAATGAATTACGTTCTTACTGTTTTTGAAAACTCTCCCCACATATGTGGTCTTTGTTTCCTCCAAGTTTTTTTTTTTTGTTTTTGGTCTCTATTTCCAGGTTAGAGGCTTTCTTCAGATATCTGGTAATCCTTGGGAGTTTGCACATGTTTCAAAGTGAGAATTATAAAGTTGAGTGGGAGCTCTGAGCACAGGGAATGGGCTGGCTGAGGATGAACTTCCCTGTATAGTGGCTTACATGGACAGCTTGGGAACCCCCAGTGTATTCTTCCTCTTGGGCTAGTCAGGTTCTTCTAGAAAAAGACCTTAGATCAGCCTAGAGGGAGAAGTCTGGCTACAAGCAAATAGGGCTGGAAGGGGTTGGAAAGTCTCAATTCTCAAAACTGTATCACTTAGACTTTTTTTTTTTTTTCCTGCCGTGCCGTTCCCCAATCAGGGGTTGAACCCGGGCCCTGGTAGTGAAAGCACTGAGTCCTAACTACTGGACCACCGGGAATTCCCACTTAGACCTCTTTTGATTCAGCACCCAGGCCCTCAGCTGCACCTATGTCTCTAAGACTAGACCTCTGTCTTACCCTCTCTAAAGAATTAAACCTCCAGATTCTACTGCAGCTAGGGAGGACTTGAGAAGCAATCTTGGAGGTCAGATTGCTTCTCGAACCCCACTCCCAATTCCAAAGGTACCTGGTACTTCTGGTTGCGAAGCCTTTTGAGGAGACTGGTGTATATGGGGAGTTACTCAGCATTCCCCAAGCCTACTGAGGATTCTGTTGTCTTGGCTCTGCTAAGTCATTTTCTTCTTATCCATCTGCTTTTCACCTTCTACAGTTTTGTTGCTAACATCCCTTATCCTGTTCTCGTCAACCTTTAGCTTTATAGCTTTAAAAAAAAAAGAAAAGAAAGGAAAATCCCTTTACTGTATTTTTGGTGGGGTTTCTAAAGAGAAAAGGAAAATCTGATGTATGTTTTCAGTGTGCCTTCTTGACATACACGTGGCCAACAGGCACATGAAAAGATGCAAATCAAAACTACAATGAGGTATCACCTCACACCTGTTAGAATGGCCATCATCAAAAAGTCTACAAATAATAAATGCTGGAGAAGGTGTAGAGAAAAGGGAACTCTCCACTGTTGGTGGGAATGTAAATTGGTGCAGCCACTATGGAAAACAGTATGGAGGTTCCTTAAAAAACTGAAAATAGAGCTACCATATGATCCAGCAATCCCACTCCTGGGCATATATCCAGAAAAGATGAAAACTCTAATTTGAAAAGATACATGCACCCCAGTGTTCATAGCAGCACTATTTACAAGAGCCAAGACATGGAAGCAACCTAAATGTTCATCAACAGATGAATGGATAAAGATGTTGGGGGGGGGGTGCGTGTGTGTGTGTGTGTATATACATACACACACACAATGGAATACTACTCAGCCATAAAAAAGAATGAAATAATGCCATTTGCAGCAACATGGATGGACCTAGAGATTATCATACTGAGTAAAGTAAGACAGAGAAAGACAAATATGATATCACTTATATGTGGAATCTAAAAGTAATATAAATGAATTTATTTACAAAACAGAAACAGACTCAAAGATATAGAAAACAAACTTTATGGTTATCAAAGGGGAAAGGTGAGGAGGAATAAATTAGGAGTATGGGATTAACAGATACATACCACTATATATAAAATAGATAAACAACAAGGATTTACTGTATAACACAGGGAACTATGTTCAGTATCTTATAATAACCTATAGTGGAAAAGAATCTGAAAAAAATATATATGTATATGAGTGAATCACTTTACTGTACACCTGAAACTAACACAGTATTGTAAGTCAACTATATACTTCAATAAAAAAAATCTGCCTTCTTGACGCAGAAATCATGAAAGTTTTTATAATGCCAGAATTACAGCTTTTTATAATGGTAAAAAAATAGGAATGTCCATCAAAGGGTGATTATCCAAATAAACTGTGGCTTAACCACACAATGAAATAGTATCAGCCACTAAAAGTAATGCTATGAAAAAATAATTTAATAACATGAAAAAATGTACCTAGTATTAAGTGAAAAAATAGATTGCAGAAAATATATTCAAAAGATCACATTTTTAAAAAGTGTATATATTTTAAAGGGTAACAGCGTCTACCAATCACATAGTCATGATAGTATATATACAGAGAAGAAACTTGCACCAGAAAGTTAAGGGTGCTTATCTCTGGGTGGTGAGATGATAGATAAGATGGAAACTGTGTGATCAGATAGAAAATAAATGCCCAACAGACAAAAATTCCCAAGGAACATGTAAGAGCAAGCAGTCTTCTGCTGGGGCCTCATACCATAAACTTCTTCTGCCAGATTGGGTGTAAATCTCACCCTATTCTGCAGGGTTGCCAGGTTCACTCCTGTGTCCAGGGGTGGTCTGAAGAGTTATACAAGCTCACGCCCCCTTCTGCCTTTTCCAGCCACCTAATGATCCCCATGGTATCCAGAGAGAAGATCTCATCCTGAGTCTTCGAGCTGTGCTGGCTTCTACACCGCGATTTGCTGAGGTGGGTCTAGCCAAAGTTAGGATATGTAGCCTCAACCCACAGAAGGGTCTGAAGAAAGAACAGTAAAAGCATGGGGGAAAAGAAAGTTCCAGTATACATTTTAGGTTATGGCATCTTGCAAGTGTCTTCAGACCTTCGAAGTAAAAAACTTCACCATCTCTTCATTTAAAATAGTAAACCAATCCCTATTTGGTGCTATCTTTTGAAATTCTTTAGCTTTGCCAGCTAGCCCACTTCTCAGGTCACTGGGAGTCTGGCCATGGATTGAGAGGGAGGTTGGTTTACAGTCACTACTCTCGACTCGAGTATAGCTCCTTGATGTAACACCTACCCCTGGGAACTGGTGGCAGTGAGGACATGGTTGGCCTTGGTGTGGCTGCAGCACTACCCATATCTCACTCTTTAGTTCTTCCTTCTCTCCCACAGTTCCTGCTCCCCCTGCTGATTGAGAAAGTGGATTCCGAGATTCTGAGTGCCAAGCTGGATTCTCTGCAGACTCTGGTGAGTGATTGTTCTCTTTTGAGGATCCAGCTGTCTTTAGACAATTTAGGGGTGCTAAAGGATTATGAATTGATTCTTGGAGAGCCAGGGAATAGTTCATTGGCCTCAAGAGAGGGATACCCAGAATCCGGGCCTATATGTTGACCTAAAGCCCCCAGTTGCATTTTGTCTTGTTCTGTAGTAACTGAGTGGCAGCTGAGGAAAGGCTGACCAGGGCTCCCTCTTCATGCTTGTTTTCCATCAGTCAGGACAAGCTCCTATTTTTCAGTGACCTGGGTAGGATGGTTATGAAATCCTGCTGGTTTACTGCTGAGAGCCGGGGTCTTTCAGGTGCCATTATGCTGAGGGGCCTGCACGTCCTAGGAAGTCTGAGTGTGTAGATAGCCATTACCTGTGCTTTCCTTGGCAGAATGCTTGCTGTGCTGTGTACGGACAGAAAGAACTAAAGGACTTCCTCCCCAGCCTTTGGGCTTCTATCCGCAGAGAGGTGAGTGTTACTTAGATAAACTCACTACCATTAACTCCTGGTTGTCAGGCACGAGGGGAAATAACACACCGTATCCTTTTCCCTCTGTTGCTGTGCTTGGTTATTCAGCAAGAGAGCAAGGGGGCATACTTCTAGTTGAATGACAAGGTAGGGTCAGCTGTTTGGTCGTGGCACATGATCAGTCTCGCACAGTGCCCAATTCCTGTCCTTCCATGGTAAGGAGCATAGGTCATGCTGAGTAGAGCGGGAGAGGAAGAGACTTAGGAAAGGGGTTCCCAACAACCACTGCTCAAAGTTGTATTCAGTTTCTCAAAAAGTATGTGTATCAATCCTAGTGGGACTGAGGACTTAGTGAGAATACACCAATTGAGAAGAAACTCATTTGGGGGGTTAATTTCCATTGCTGTGCCCCAAAGGTTCTCACCACCCCCTCCCCGCAAAGGAAATAGGCAGTAGGTGGGTGGGGTCTCACCTGGTGCAGGCTCACCTCAGTAGCCATGGGATCCCTCCCTGACAGGTGTTCCAGACGGCAAGTGAGCGGGTAGAGGCCGAGGGCCTGGCAGCCCTTAACTCCCTGACTGCGTGTTTGTCTCGCTCTGTGCTGAGGGCTGATGCTGAGGACCTCCTTGACTCCTTCCTTAGCAACATTCTACAGGGTAATGGGGCCATGGCAGCTAGAAAGGGGAGTGAGCACAACAGAGAAATTCCTTAAGGCCAGTGACCTTTCATGAGTGGCCCCCATGTTCAGTGATTTGGGTGCTGGAGCCCTGCTTTGAATTGAAAGCAATTTAAGTGGTAACTGCTAGCCAACTGTCCCAGGGCTCAGCCTCCAACTTCTATGGCCTGCAGGGGAACCAGGCAACATTCAGCCTACTCCCTAGGTCTGTGATGTGCTGCCTTTCTAGACTGCAGGCACCATCTGTGTGAACCAGACATGAAACTGGTGTGGCCTAGTGCCAAACTGTTGCAGGCGGCTGCAGGTGCGTCTGCCCGGGCCTGTGACTACATCACCAGCAACGTGCTGCCCCTACTGCTGGAACAGTTCCACAAGCACAGTCAGGTAAGGAAGCAGAATCTGTTGGGGAAATGATGGGACCCCTTGCCAGGATCGCTGTCTCACAGAGAGAGCGCTAAGCATTGAGCTTGGGCCTAGATATAGTAGATCTCAGGTTTTGCTCCCATTAGCTGCTGCTGGTGCCCTTGTTCACTTTTTTCCTGACACTCTTATGTAAAAGGATAATTCTCCCCAATTCTGCAAGTAGCAGGACTGAAATCCTTTAAAAATAAAGTATTTTTAGACTTGAATACCCCTTAAAACATTACAGAGCAACCAGCGGCGGACAATCCTTGAAATGATCCTGGGTTTCTTGAAGCTGCAACAGAAATGGAGCTATGAAGACAAGGGTGAGGCCATCTTCTAGATGTGGTATCCTGGGGGCTGCTGAGCACTATAGCCCTATAAAGGATGGCAGGCAAAGAGCGCTACAGAGAAGTAGTCTAGAACAGTGGACCTGTTGTTCTGAGGATGTAGCCCAAGAGAACACTTAACAGTTGAGAGCTGTTGATTTCTTTCCTAGTGTACTTCCCAGATACCCAATGGATTAAATTCTTTAAATCTGCCCCGGGAATTCCGTGGCGGTCCAGTGCTTAAGACTCTGTGCTTCCACCACAGGAGGCACGGGTTCGATCCCTGGTCAGGGAATTAAGATCCCACATGCCACGCAGCACGGCAAAAAAAAAAAAATCTGTCCCAGGTTATCTTTGCATCACTTCTGAATAGGATTTCCCTCTAACCTGGACTCTGTCTCTTCCTAGATGAAAGGCCTCTGAGTGACTTCAAGGACCAGCTGTGCTCACTGGTATTCATGGCCCTGACGGACCCCAGCACCCAGCTTCAGCTTGTTGGCATCCGTACACTCACAGTCTTGGGTGCCCAGCCAGGTGTGCTAAAGGGAAAGAGAAAAGATAGGAGTATTGGTCCCTTTCTTGTGATTTTCTGTCTTAAGTGAAGAGCAATCTTAATTCCCTGGTTCTCACTACAACTCTGGATGATTTGGGACTTCTTATAGGACTTTAGGAAGGGTTGTGATGGCTGCAGGGGAAGAAAGGTGAGGTTCGTGTTTCCCTCCTGTACAGATCTCCTGTCTTCTGGGGACTTGGAGCTGGCAGTGGGTCATCTATACAGACTGAGCTTCCTGGAGGAGGATTCGCAGAGTTGGTGAGAATATAAGGCAGCGAGATCGAGCAAGCTGTTCCGGGGCTCTGTGCTTCCGACCCATGGCTTTCCGCAGGGGAGGTGGGCCCCATGCTTGGCTCTGGCTGCTCCCTGGTTGGAGGTGTGGGAATGCTCTCTTTTCTTGGGCATTAAGAAGCCTGGTCCAACTTAGTGGTGTAAGTACTGGAATCCTACTCTTCAGCAAGGTGGCCTCAGAAGCCCACACTCCTGAATCTGCCTAGTGACAGGCCTAGGCAAGAGAGCCATGGACCAAGGCTCAGCTAGTGCTCATCTGCCTTGTGCCCCGGCAGGGTGGCAGCACTGGAAGCATCAGGAACCCTGGCCACTCTCTACCCTGTGGCCTTCAGCAGCCACCTAGTGCCCAAGCTTGCTGGGGAGCTGTGTATAGGTATGTGTCTCTGATCTTCCGTGGCTTACCCCTTCCCAGGGAGGCTTGGGGGCCTTCATGCTTGCCATCACACAGTGAAACCTTGTCTCCTGGGTTGCTTTCAGAGGAGTCAGATTTGGCTAGAGGAGATGGGCCCACCAAATGCTCCCGGCATCGGCGCTGTCTGCAAGCCTTGTCAGCTATATCCACACATGCCAGTATTGTCAAGGAGACCCTGCCTCTTCTGCTGCAGCATCTCCGCCAGATGAACAAAGGTAACTACCAGGAACAGTCCTCAAGGAACTGGGCTGAAGGCGGAACCATAGTCAGGTTTGGAGTTGATGCCTCTAAAGCAGTGGTTCCAGTGGTGGCTATAGTAAGAGTCACATGGGAACTTTTAAAAAGCGCTGAATGCGTGGGTCTTAGTCCAACTGATTCAGCCTCTGAGGAGGGATGAGACTTGGGCAACAGTTATTAAGAATGCGCACGGAGGCCATTGAAAAGCACCACTGGGGACTTCCCTGGTGGAGCAGTGGTTAAGAATCGCCTGCCAGGCTTCCCTGGTGGCGCATGGTTGAGAGTCTGCCTGCCAATGCAGGGGACACGGGTTTGTGCCGCGGTCCGGGAAGATCCCACATGCCGCGGAGCATCTAAGCCCGTGCACCACAACTACTGAGCCTGCACTCTAGAACCTGTGAGCCACAACTGCTGAGCCTGCGCGCCACAACTACTGAAGCCCACGCACCTAGAGCCTGTGCTCTGCAACAAGAGAAGCCACCGCAATGAGAAGCCCATGCACCGCAACAAAGAGTAGCCCCCACTCGCCGCAACTAGAGAAAGCCTGCGTGCAGCAACGAAGACCCAACGCAGCCAAAAATAAAAACATAAAATAAATAAAAATTTTTAAGAAAAGCTCCACTGTAAGGCCAAGCTACTCAAAATAGGGTTCATCAACCAGCAGCACGGGTATTATCTGGGAGTTTATTAGAAATGCAGAATCTCAGGTGCCATTGATCAGAATCTGCATTTTAACTGGATCTCCAAGTAACCTGTACATACCCTGGAGTTTGAGAAGCACTGCTCCTCATAAGTGACAGCAGCTATTGCTATTGTGAACCTGTGCATGCACACCATAGAACCTCACTAATTCCCTAAGTGCCCCACTCTGTACTGCCCAGCCCTTTGTGGATGATCCAGCACCTGATGTAAAGTAGAAAGAACACTGGACTCAGAGCGTGGCCTGGGTTTGATTCCTGACTTTTTCACTGTTACCCTGGAAAAACCACTGGTAATTTATTGAGCCTCCACATCCTCCTCTATAAAATGGGGAAAATGATATTTCTAAGAGAGTTGTTATGAAAACTAAATGAGAATGTACAGCTGACCCTTGAACAAAACAAGTCTGAACAGCACAGGTCCACGTATACAGATTTTTTTCAGTAGTAAAAACTATAGTACAATATGCTTGTGGTTGGTTGAGTCCACAGATGCAGAACTGCAGATATGGAGGAACTGTGTAAAGAGGGACCATTATAACTTGCACGTGGATTTTCGACTGTACAGGAGGGTTGGCTCCCCTTACCCCCGCCTTGTTCAACGATCAGCTGTGTATGAATGCTTCTGTTGCAGAGCTGGCTGGGCAGGTCTCAGCTCCTGGATAAAATGACTTGGCTCTGTATAAGACACTCTTGGTCTCTTTAGTTACTCGTCTTCGATTATTCTTCCCATATTCTGTATGTGACAGACCTGGAAGTGCTTTTAAGAAAACCTTACAGAGAACTTTCTCACCACACAGGGAATACGGTTGCAGGAACAAGTGAAGTTATTGCTGTCTGTCAGAGTCTCCAGCAGGTGGCAGAAAAATGCCAGCAAGACCCCGAGAGCTGCTGGTATTTCCATCAGACAGCTATACCTTGCCTGCTTGCCTTGGCTGTGCAGGCTTCCATGCCAGGTAACTTCCTCCACCTCACCCGTCCCTCCTCCCGAATCAGCCTTCCACTAGTGTTGAACAGCACTGCCACCCTCGGGGTATCACTGGTATTGCATTTTGTACGAGCAGAGGCTTCTTCTGAATCCTGTGTCCACATGAGATTTCACTTCAAGCAGAGGGTGCCAAGCTGACCTTCGGCAGGAACCAAAATCTACTAGTGTTAGCAACACCCAAAAGGATGCACACTTTTCCCCCCTTAGTTGCTGTGTAATTAGATTAGTTAGAGTTAGGCTCTGGAATCAAGCAGACCTGGTTGGGTTTCGTGGTCAACTCTACCACTTGCCAACTTAGATGAAGATAGCCTTTCTAAGCTTCTGTTTCCTCACTTTATGGGGTTGATAGAGAGTAATATCTATATCACAGGGTAGTTGGTAAGGATTAAATAAGTTAATGTGCAGTGCTTGTCAACAGTAATGTATGTATGTGTGGTAGCTGCTGTATAAAAGGACCCATGAAGATAAATCCATGTTACCTTTAAGTTTTTGAAAAGACTAACATTTCTGATGTTAAGAATGTTCACATTAGCTAGCCTTATTTTCCACTGTTGCCCAGTCAAAAGGACTGCACAAAGTTCTCGGGAGCTCCCTATGGCCTGCATTACACACTCCTACTTCTGGTGCCTTGCTGCTTCTCAGGGCTACAGCACTACTAGAGGACAGTTTAAAAACTGCTCCTCTTGTAACTAGAGTCAAGGCCCAGAGTCATGATGATGACAGGACCTAATCGTCTGAGCCACAGTCATGGCCTGTGATTGTGTGTGTTTTGATTTTGCAGAGAAGGAGCACTCAGTTCTGAAGAAAGTGCTGTTGCAGGATGAGGTCTTGGCCGCCATGGTGTCTGTCATTGGCACTGCCACCACCCACTTGAGCCCTGAGTGAGTATAATCATAGATGTGACTTGATCCCAGGGAGGACAGAATTCTTGGGAAGAAGCAGCAAATAACTTCCTTTTGAGCTGTCCTTTTACCCAGATTGAAACATGGAGGCAGCTTTTGTTTTGTTAAGTCTTGCTGGCAAAGTAAGAAGGGGCCTTTTAGCATCATGGACTGGGGGCCAGAGACTAATGGTTCTTAGCTGCAGATGTGCATGAGAGTCACCTGTGGAGCACTTCTGAAATACACATTGAGTTCTCTCGCTAGATCGTAAGGTCCAGGAGAACAGGGATTTGATCTGTCTTGTTCACTGCTGTAGCACCAAGGCCTAGAACAGGAATGGTTCCTGGCATATAATATGTGCTGAATTAGTATTTGTTGAAGGTGTGAATGATCATGCTCTGGCCCACGGACTCAGTGACTACCAGGAACCCCAGGGCTGCTGTAGAGCCCGGCTCCTCGGTGACACCTAGTGCTCTCCCCCCAGCTTGGCTGCCCAGAGTGTCGCCCACATTGTGCCCCTCTTCTTGGATGGCAACATCACCTTCCTGCCTGAAAACAGCTTCCCTGGCAGATTCCAACCATTCCAGGTAAGGGTCTGATGGATCAGATTGGGGAGAATCTTAGGACTTCTGTCCTTCAGATTTTTAGGGCTAACCTGGGATGGGTATCCTCAGGGCAGACAAGCCTCTTGCTAGCAGGACAGGCTTGTTAAGGCTCTTCTTCCTCTGTAGGATGGCTCCTCAGGGCAGAGGCGGCTGGTTGCACTGCTTATGGCCTTTGTCTGCTCCCTGCCTCGAAATGTAAGTGACCACAACATTTGGGGAGTACCCTAGTTTAACCCTGACCAGGGGAGGTGGATCCTGGGTGACTTCTGGGCTGAAATCTGTCACAAGCTAAGCTGATTTTCTGCTTTTCCCACTGGAGAATTTATTTCCCATCCACCCTGGCCCCTGCCGCCACTCTCTCCTGGGTGTCTCTTAGAGTTCAAGTGTTTTCTGGGTCCCTGACATGGCCAGGTTTTCTATAGGTGGAAATCCCTCAGCTGAACCAACTCATGCGGGAACTTTTAGAGCTGAGCTGCTGCCACAGCTGCCCCTTCTCCTCCACTGCTGCTGCCAAGTGCTTTGCAGGACTTCTGAACAAGCATCCTGCAGGTACTGGAGTGAGGCTGTGGGTTGGGAGCCTCCCTGAATCAACTTCTGATGAAATCTTGACGTTTAGTTCTCATTCTCTTTTTAAAGGAAGTTAGCTAATATATCAGTAATAGGGCTTTCCAAGGGACAGCCCGTGGGACAAGAGTCAAGACCAGAGTTGGGCAAAGCTTTATAGGACATAAGATAAGGGCTTCAAGCAGAGTGCTCTATCTAGTTCTGTCATCCTATTCCCTACAAAGAGCTATTAGGGGTAAATCTTTCTTTTTTTTTTTTTTTTTTTTTTTTTTGCGGTACGGGGGCCTCTCACTATTGTGGCCTCTCCCGTTGCGGAGCACAGGCTCCGGACACACAGGCTCAGCGGCCATGGCTCATGGGCCCAGCCGCTCCGCGGCATGTGGGATCTTCCCAGACCGGGGCACGAACCCGTGTCCCCTGCATCGGCAGGCGGACTCTCAACCACTGCGCCACCAGGGAAGCCCTTAGGGGTAATTCTTTATTAGAAGTAGACAACTCTTTTTCGAATGCCAGCACCCCTACATTATGGAAATACCAGGCTCTTGTGCTGGTGTCCTAGAGCTGAGTGGGCCAAATCCACAACCAAAACAATATTGGTTTTTTTCTAATGGCTTCTACATTTAAATGACTTACACCTTTGTTGGTAAAACGGACATGTGTAGCATCTGCATCAGCATTTCCTCCCTCCTTTTTAGGGCAACAGCTGGATGAATTCCTACAGCTGGCTGTGGACAAAGTGGAGGCTGGGCTGAGCTCTGGGCCCTATCGTAGTCAGGCCTTCACACTGCTTCTCTGGGTAAGGAGTCGGAGTGGATTCCAGTTAGACAGAGCAGTTGGTCTGGTTAAAAAGAATTTCTCCATTTAACCCTGAAGCGCATGCATGCTTCTCAGGGGTTGAGTGTCATGCCCTGACTGTTCTCTTTCTCTCTGATAACAGGTCACAAAGGCCCTAGTGCTCAGATATCATCCTCTCAGCTCCTGCCTTACAGACCGGGTAAGTCCTTGCTGAAGACAGCAGAACCTAGGACCTAAACAGGAACTTCCCTGTCGATCCTCTTCTTCCCAAAAATGACTACTGTCCTCCTCTTGGGTATTTAAGATTCTTCCCCGCTGATGTACCTCAAAGGCTCT